AGACTTTTTTGGAAAAGTCATGAAGCATTTTATTTTCCCCTGTCCACCATAATTATTATTTAGTGGTGTTTTGTGATTGCACTAACCACTCAGCAAATATCATCTCAGTGTTATCACTTTACAGTATTATTTGAATTTCACAAAACAGAAGTCACAGACTGCTCATCTACATACAGACTGGTATCACTAGTGAAAATATACAACTGCATACCTCTTAAATTTAAAAGATGTGGACATCAATAGTTGGAGGCCTCAAAAAAAATACATTTAGTTATCTTTTAGCAGAGTATAGAGTATACATTATTGTTGGACTCATTGATTTCCCTCCAGTCTAACACACAACACTACTCACACCATATCCATTATGTAATAATATAGAAATATTAAAAACACTTCAACTAGAATTTATTAAACTAGGCAAATCGTAGTTAAATATAGACAGTAAATATTTAGTTTTGTGTACTTTCACACTTCATAACCGGTCTAAATCTATATAAATAACAAATAACTAAATATTCTCTCTATATTTTTTAATATTATAAACATTGTATTTTTAATATGCAACTATTAAAATGAACCATTTTAGGAGGAACATCTGAAATTTCACTAAAAAAATTTGAACACGTGTAAAATATTCTATAACAACCAGTTACAAACCTCTTTTTAAAAACATCCCAAAAAAAGAAAAAACTCAAAAATACAATCACATTAAATTACTACTACAGGCAAACCTGTGTTGTTGTTTAAATATATATTCATAAATCGCTAAAAGACCTATTATGTTTCTACAAATATCCCCACACGTACATGAATAATCAAAGACAAATAATCAGTCTCTATAAAGTATTGCTACAGTCAGTGCAAACAGATTAAAGACAGAATTACCACAACGGGATACTTGGTCAATAACTACAGGAAATAAATAATATTATATAACCAGTGCTATTACATAATCTGATTACAAAATTAAGTACTTGTAATTAGAGTACAATTAAAACAATAAATAAATAAACAAGTAATCAGAGTACAGTTACTTTTATGATGGACTACATGCTGACATTTTACATTATTATCAGTCAACAGCAATACATTAATTTGTAAATTATTGATGAGTTGTCTGTTTGGTTAACCATCATGTGATGTGTCATTCCAAATAATGTCTTATATCCACAGCAAAAGTTAACTAGTAAAATTTCATAGTCAGCTATACTAGTTTACTTTTGTGTGCGGAATACTGATTGATTCTTAAATGGATAGTTCACCCAAAACTTAATCACAAAAGGAGATATTTTGAGTAATGGTAACCAAATACTTTTGGAGACCATTGACTGTCATTGAATGGACAAAATAATGACTCAAAATATTTTCTTTTATGTTCCACCAAAGAAAGCAAGTCATACAGGTTTGGTTCGTACGTCATACAGGGTGAGTAAATAATGACAGAAGTTCTCTAAATTACTCTATAATTCACAAATGAGTGATTGGATTTTCATTAGAACATGCAATAATTAAAGAAACAATTTATTGTTTGTGCAGTAGTTTAAGGAATATATTTCTTTTTGGTCTTTTTTGTATTTTGTCAGAATGATACAATATAATATTGCTCTCTGGAGAAAGCAATACTATGGATAGAGGACTCATACTTTAGCTGGAAGCAACAGTTTGAAGTTAAAAACGTCCTGATGGATTTGTTTCTTACATACACGCAGCTTTTGGCTTCTCAAGATGTTAACTGATGGACTGGAGTGGTGTGGATTGCTTGTGGATTATTGTGATGTTTTTATCAGCTGTTTGGACTCTCATTCTGACGGCACCCATTCACTGCAGAGCATCCATTGCTGAACAAGTGATGAAATGCTACAGATCTGATAATGAAATACACCGCATACATAGGCTGCAATATTGTGAACGCAGACTGGCAGAGTAATGCAAACTGTGAAACGTCCCAGTGCTGTTATACTCTCTATTGGTGCTCTTGCAATGCAGCTCAGCCAATCAGAACACAGCAAGAGGACTACCCTTGTAAAAAAAAAAAAGATGTAAAGAAGAAATTGTTTTCAGTGTGCATTTGTAGTGTACTTCAAATCTTAAAAGCATATTTTTGAAAAACTGCTTGCAGATAATATAATATTAGTGAAATAAAAGGCCACTTAAGTTACTTAAAGTTACGTGTAAAATATTCTATAACAACCAGTTACAAACCTCTTTTTAAAAACATCCCAAAAAAAGAAAAAACTCAAAAATACAATCACATTAAATTACTACTACAGGCAAACCTGTGTTGTTGTTTAAATATATATTCATAAATCGCTAAAAGACCTATTATGTTTCTACAAATATCCCCACACGTACATGAATAATCAAAGACAAATAATCAGTCTCTATAAAGTATTGCTACAGTCAGTGCAAACAGATTAAAGACAGAATTACCACAACGGGATACTTGGTCAATAACTACAGGAAATAAATAATATTATATAACCAGTGCTATTACATAATCTGATTACAAAATTAAGTACTTGTAATTAGAGTACAATTAAAACAATAAATAAATAAACAAGTAATCAGAGTACAGTTACTTTTATGATGGACTACATGCTGACATTTTACATTATTATCAGTCAACAGCAATACATTAATTTGTAAATTATTGATGAGTTGTCTGTTTGGTTAACCATCATGTGATGTGTCATTCCAAATAATGTCTTATATCCACAGCAAAAGTTAACTAGTAAAATTTAATAGTCAGCTATACTAGTTTACTTTTGTGTGCGGAATACTGATTGATTCTTAAATGGATAGTTCACCCAAAACTTAATCACAAAAGGAGATATTTTGAGTAATGGTAACCAAATACTTTTGGAGACCATTGACTGTCATTGAATGGACAAAATAATGACTCAAAATATTTTCTTTTATGTTCCACCAAAGAAAGCAAGTCATACAGGTTTGGTTCGTACGTCATACAGGGTGAGTAAATAATGACAGAAGTTCTCTAAATTACTCTATAATTCACAAATGAGTGATTGGATTTTCATTAGAACATGCAATAATTAAAGAAACAATTTATTGTTTGTGCAGTAGTTTAAGGAATATATTTCTTTTTGGTCTTTTTTGTATTTTGTCAGAATGATACAATATAATATTGCTCTCTGGAGAAAGCAATACTATGGATAGAGGACTCATACTTTAGCTGGAAGCAACAGTTTGAAGTTAAAAACGTCCTGATGGATTTGTTTCTTACATACACGCAGCTTTTGGCTTCTCAAGATGTTAACTGATGGACTGGAGTGGTGTGGATTGCTTGTGGATTATTGTGATGTTTTTATCAGCTGTTTGGACTCTCATTCTGACGGCACCCATTCACTGCAGAGCATCCATTGCTGAACAAGTGATGAAATGCTACAGATCTGATAATGAAATACACCGCATACATAGGCTGCAATATTGTGAACGCAGACTGGCAGAGTAATGCAAACTGTGAAACGTCCCAGTGCTGTTATACTCTCTATTGGTGCTCTTGCAATGCAGCTCAGCCAATCAGAACACAGCAAGAGGACTACCCTTGTAAAAAAAAAAGATGTAAAGAAGAAATTGTTTTCAGTGTGCATTTGTAGTGTACTTCAAATCTTAAAAGCATATTTTTTAAAAACTGCTTGCAGATAATATAATATTAGTGAGATAAAAGGCCACTTAAGTTACTTAAAGTTACTTTCATGACTGTTTCTGGACACACTTAAGTACACTTTTAAAATGGGACTGTAATAATGTCAAATTTACTTTTAAATTATTGTTTTAATAATCTTTTGTTGTATTTTAAAGAAGTAGCCTTATTTTGATGTGTTGACTAACATATTAAAGTACATGTAAAGTACTTGATTATAATTTTTAACTTAATGTTATTCAACATTGCATTTAAAGTTTATATATATATATATATAAACATACTTTACATTTTAAAATAAATTAAATTATAGTTATTTACTTCAAAGTTGAATTTTCAGTAGCCATTACTTTAGTCTTGAGTGTCACATGATCCTTGATCTAATATGTTGATTTGGTGCTCTTCCTTATTATCAGTGTTGGAAACATTTGTGCTGCTTGAAACTGTGATATATATCTGATATGGTAAATGGAAAAGAACAGCATTTATTTGAAATAAAAATCTTGTTACATTATAAATGTCTTTGCTGTCCTCTTTATACAGTTTACTGTAACTTTGCTGATTAAAAGCTGATAAATAATTCCTGTAAGTGTAGTGCATGCAGCACAAATCTGGGGATAAAATTACCTCTATAGTGTTTTGAATCCACAGTAGGATTTCAGTTGTGTTCAATGTTGTCAAAATGTGCACATTCTGTTTGACTGAAACTAACACTGAGCTGAACCCGTCATTATAAAAGGATTCTTTCATTATAAAAAGAGTTCTGCTTACTCAATCAGACACTTTTAAACATAGATAAATCCCCAGATAACAGCACACACTGGTATTGTGTACATATTTATGTGTGTTATATGTGTGTGTGCGTGCGAGTGAGTGTGTGTGTCTGAAATTTTTGACATTGTGGGGACCGGCCTGCAGTCTTTATGAGATAAAAAAAAATATATTAAAAGTAGTAAATTACGTTTATCTGTAAGTGTAACAATGCAAACAGGTTTTCTGTAAGGGGTAGGTTTAGGTTTTAGGGTTGGGTTAGGGCAGGGGTAGGCAAGTTCGGTCCTAGAGAGCAGCAGTCCTGCAGAGTTCAGCTCCAACCCTAATCAAACACACCTGAACAAGCCAATCAATGTCTTCAGGATTACTAAGGCTATAGGCAGGTGAGTTTTGTTTTCAGGGTTGGAGCTGAACTCTGCAGAACTGCGGCTCTCTAGGACCGAACTTGCCTACCCCTGGGTTAGGGGATAGAGAATATCGTTTAGTCAGTATAAAAGTAATAGAAGTCTATAGAAAGTCCCCGCAATTCACAGAAACAAACGTATGTGTACACACACACAAATCATTTATTTATGCAAAATCAGTTAAAGAAACCAGACATGCAATCATGTCAGCAGATGAGATCATTTCTGACCAGATTCACTGTCACCACCAGCATACTGGGATACTGTGGACTATCCCTAATTTACATCAATACCAATGACTTTGATTCAGCGGGAGTGCTTCCCACATCCATCTCCCTCCACAACCATTCATTTTCATAAACCGACATCTGTCAATAACCAGATGATGGTCATGACAAACACTAGCAATTCAGTTAATAAATAAGGTTAATAAAGTGAAAGAAAACCAAAAACCTGCAACTCACCTGCTTCTCAGACACATAAATAGGTTCTTTCAGCAAAATCCATGTGACGCTCTCATACAGTGGAGGAGTTGTGAGAGAGCCTGGGTACGTCCAGTACTCCAGACTGTTCGGCAGGAGGCACTTCGGGTTAAAGCCCTTAAAATCAGTAACACTTCCCTACAAGAAAAAAAAAACAAGCATAAAGTTATTGAACTGTAATGCAGAGCTTTAGGAAATAAAGATGCTCTGAACATGGCTGTAACCGCAATACACAGAAGAAATATATATATATATATATATATATATATATATATATATATATATATATATATATTCAATGTACTAGATTGCAACTTCATCATTATAAATGTGTAATTACAAATATATTTAAATACTTCAAACTTCAACCATATTTGAAAGACAGACAAAATTCTGAAATTACATATAAAGATGTGCTTCAGTAATACTTAAGCAGGTCAAAAACACTCTAAATTTCAGCTAATTGCATTTAAAATAAATTTAAACTGCAACACAGTTTCATTAATTGCAAATAACATTCAATTAAGTGTCCAAAAACATTACATTCAGTTCACACTTAAGTATATTAAAGTATGTTACTTCCATAATAATAAATAAATAAATGTACTTATTTTTCACAAGGGTAAAACATGCCAAGAAGAATTACTGAAGTCATAAGCAGCTAAACAGTGTCTGACTGTAATTTTTCAGCATTCTTGTAAGTCATCAGCATCCTGGGTTGACTGAAGAGAGAAACCATTATATTATACAGTAAACCTTCCAGCTTGAAGCTGTGCTTAATTAGTCATTCAAAAGCCTTATCAGTTCTTGCTGTGGACAGAACAATGGACTGACTGGATCCTGAAAACCATTCTGAGGTTGCTTCTGTAGAGCACACAATTTCCTCTTGCTGCTACACTGTACGCAGGCATGAAATCAGCCAAGATTTAGTACCTGATCTACAGTAAAAGCACTTTAATAATGAAACTAAAACAAGAACGCACTGAAGAGTGTGGCACTTCTAGAGCTGACCGAAGAGGATGGAGCAGAGCAGAAAGATGGAGTAAAGAAGCATGAGACCAAGACCTAGTCTCCGATCCAGCTTCCAGCCATTCAGATGGACACTCAGGACCTACAAAACACACAAACACATACACACACACACACACACACACAGAGTCAACATGGACACTAACAGCATTGTGCTCAGCTGACTTCGCCACTCCCCAGCAGCCTTCAGCGTCTGCAGCAGCTGTCGTCTTCCGGTCCCCTGCTGCCATCCGGCGATTTCTATCAGAGCAAATTTCTAAGAGTAAATTTTCTCTTGGCGTTGTTGCAAATGCCATGCCATTACTGCCGCTGACGGTGCGTTTTATGCCGCCCATGCTGAAGCTGCACTCACTGAGACGTCATGTCCTCATTGTGAGGATATGAGTCTCGCCTCTCTGCGCTTGTGGATAGCTTTCTTTTCAGAAAGCGACTCCGCCCCTCGCGCCCTCCCGCTTTTTTCCTCCCAGGAGCCTGTGAGGGAAAAGTAGCGGGGCAGAGGAACTCAGCGCTCAGTGATAAGTGAGCCCACGCCGGCTGAGCCCCCGCGTGCCTCACTCTCTCCACATAGAGAGGTTCTTCCCGTCCTTTTCTCTCACCCGGACCAGCGTCCCTCTGCGGCTGCGAGCGATCTGGTCTTTTTCGGTGGGAGCGAGTGTGACGTTATGGACGACAGCATGTCTCTGGCGGCTTCAGATGCGAAGGAGCTGTCGGACTCGTCTCACGACCCTGCCCCCCTGCCGTCTGAAGAGCCCAGCGCAACCAGCACGGACCATGCTGAACTGTTCCACGTCCTGTCTAAAGCTGTGGAGGAGCTGGGCTTGGAGTGGTCTCCGCCAGAGGAGCCCACCCATAGCTGCCTGGATGAGTAGTTCTTGCCAGGGCGCCATCAAGCCCCTCGACAACGAGCTTCACCATTCTTCCCAGAGGTCCACGACGAGATCACCAGATCTTGGCGCACCCCCTACTCGGCCCGCCTACGTGCCTTCTCTTCGTCCGCCCTCACATCGGTCGACGGCACTGTAGAAAAAGGGTACGACAGACCACCTCCCCTGGATGAGTCAGTGGCCGCGCATCTCTGCCCGCCCACGGCCATCGGCTGGAAGGCAAAGGTCGCCCACCCATCCAAGCCATGTAGGACGACTTCAGCTCTCGCTGGACGAGCCTATTCGACAGCTGGACAAGCGGCATCGGCACGTCACTCCATGGCGGTCCTCCAGGTCGTTCGGGCCAAACTGCTCCGCTGCATGGACGAGTCCGGCCCAGACCCGGCAGCTTTTAAGGAGCTGTGCAGCGAGACCGACCTGGCTTTGCATGCCACCGAGATGACGGTTCAGGCGATCGGCAGATCCATGGCCAGCCTAGTGGTGCTCAAACGCCACCTATGGGTGACCCTTACGAATATCAAGGATGTGGATAAGGTCCCCTTCCTCGACTCCCCGGTCTCCCCCACTGGCCTGTTTGGTTCTGCAGTCGAGGGTTTCGCCAAACGCTTCACTACTGCACAGAAGTCGTCCCAGGCAATGCGACACTTCTTTCCAAAGCGCTCCAGTTCTGCAGCTGCTTCCAGTCGCCCCAAGACAGTGTCGACTCAGCATCCCGCAAAGCCCGCACCTCCAGCGCCACTAGCTTTTAAGCCATTCCCTAAACGCCAGGGACCCCGGCCCAAGATGGCGCTGGACCCGGCGCCTCAGGCGTCATCCTGATCTGCGGTACAGGAAGAGGAAGGGGCCAAGTCTTGCCACAGCCGGACCACCGCCCAAGCAGCCTCTGTTGTGCCTCCAAGCACCCCGACCAAATATGGTGTATGTTCTTGTATATAGTGATTATGGGTATGCATTACTCACCGTGAGGAAGACTGATGCGAGCAGCAGGATGACAGAATAGACCAGGCCTTTATTATTGATGAATACCTGACAAAAGACAGAGAGCAGTCAGAGGAAAGCATCAGCAGGGACACTGCATCTACACTGGACGAACAATAAAATAAGTCAAACGCTCACTGCTGAGCCATGATCTACTACTAGCGTCCTCAGAGCCCAGGGGAAGCCCAGTCCCAGCAGGATGTCAAAGATATTGCTGCCTATGGAGTTTGACACTGCCATGTCCCCCATTCCTGAGACACAATATACAACCAGAATGTAATGCATTTTACAAATATAATGCTAAAACCAGCTAGTAACATGTTGAAAGAAACATCAAAATGTTGAAACATGCTAGCAACATGCTTAAACATGCAAAAATGCTAGCAATGTTCAAAAACATGTTAGCGATGTGTTAAAACAGGCTAGCAAAATTCTAAAACATGTTATCAATGTTCTTAAACATGCCAGCAACGTGTTAAAACATGCTGTAAAACTGCTTAAACATGCTAGCAACATTCTAAAACAATGAAATCAAAATGCTAACAACATTCTGAGATAAACTAACTGCATAAAACATGCTAACAATCTATTGACTATCTGGCCTTAAAACCTTCAAAATTGTACCTTTTTAAAGTACTTTAAACAATTTAAAATTTAAAACCTTTAGACTTAATCTTCAAACTTCAACCCCCGGTTTCACAGACAAGGCTTAAACCTAGTCCCAGACTAAAATCTAAGTCTGAGCTGTTTCAAAATTACTTAAATGTCCTAATTGAACTATGGCCTAATCCTGGCTTAGTCTAAGCCCTGTCTGTGAAACCAGGCCCAAGATTTTAAAACTACTTTAAACGTCACCAGGCTTTCTCAAGCCAACACCAAAGTTTGTCTTGACATTTTTTTAATAATCTAGTTTAAACTAATCATGAATTTCTTTGAATTTCATTTATTTAAATTCTCTGTCCTTAATTTTGCATCCTTTCTGCTACCTCAGGTCAAATTCAGACATTGAATTAGAATTTCAAAGACATTCTTTGTATTAGGCAACAAATATGATATTAAAGATAATAAAAGCATGCATACAAACAATTTATTGTGCATATAAAGGTTACACACCTTGGCGGGCGACGATGAGGCTCGCCATGCAGTCAGGTACACTAGTGCCAGCAGCCAGGAAAGTGATTCCCATGATGTAATCAGGAATACCAAGTGTGTAGCTGATGATGGTGACCTGCAAAACATGCCACATAATGACAAAAATCAGCATAATTGACCAACTAATGGAATGAGAAGAGAGTAAAGATAAAAGAAGATAAAGAAGAAGGTATATTTGGTACAAATATCATATATTTAATATTTAATTTGGATCTTTCCTTACCATCCACACCATGAGGTAGGAAAAAATAGCAATCCAAATGGTTGAAGCAATGAAGGTGACCATGAACCAGCGATGCCAACGTGGCAAAACACAGTTAGGCACTGTGTAATACAGCAGAACAGCCAGCGGCCAGGACACAAGCCACTTCAGACGCGCACAGTAGCCAGCTAATGCACACAGAGACTAAATAACCACTAAATATTCTCAAAACACTATTTTGATTACTTCTGAATGCATTTTGTATGTGTATATATATATAAAATATGTGTGTGTGTGTGTGTGTTTAATTACTGAGATAAACAATAGGTCCTATCTTAAAGGAATAGTTCACCCCCCCCCCCCCCAAAAAAAAAACTAAGCCACTGCAGTGAATGGGTGCCGTCAGAATGAGAGTCCAAACAGCTGATAAAAACATCACAATAATCCACAAGTAATCTACACCACTCCAGTCCACACGCAGCTTTTGTCTTCTCACGACGTTAACTGATGGACTGGAGTGGTGTGGATTATTTGTGGATTACTGTGATGTTTTTATCAGCTGTTTGGACTCTCATTCTGACGGCACCCATTCACTGCAGAGCATCCACTGGTGAGCAAGTGATGTAATGCTACATTTCTCCAAATCTGTTCCCATGAAGAAACAAACTCATCTACATCTTGGATGGCCATTTTAATTTTTGGGTTTAACTCTTCCTTTAATGTGAAGCAGCTTTAAAATAATCTGTATTGTATGAAGCACTATATAAATAAATGTGACTCAGTTTGACTTGACATTACATACAGTTGTATACATGTTAGATATATGTAACTAAGATTCTCTAGGCCTACCAAAAGCTGCAAAATAAACCAATAACGGAAACTTTCTGCATGCTATTAACAGTAATTATTTGAATCTGATCTGGTTTCATGCACTAACCAGGAAAATGGAGAGGTTTGAACATTTCGTCCCCGTCCTCATCCTCTTCTTCAGGCTGAGAGTTTTCCACCTCCACCTTCACTCCTTTCTTACCATCCGTCGTTTCTGTGTCCTCAGGTGTCTGCTGTGCTTCAAGACTTCCTCCGTTTACTATCCCTCTAGAGCCGAATGTCTTCACTGAGGTCCTGCTCATCTTATCCTCCCGGAGCAGTCTTTGTCTCTGAAATGAGGAATTGACATTCTGGTGTGTCATTAGTGCCAGTGCCAGTCACCATCATACAGGGTTATTCAAAATCTAATTTTGAACTGAATTAGTAGTATCCTGTAAAACTTGCTCCAATGATGTTTCATTCATAACTTAAAAAATATTAGTGTATTTACAAGTTTTGTGACTAAAAACTACATTGTTAATATTGACAAACTGTCCTATTTATTCTATATGATATATAGAACATATGATACGCATGATAAAAACAATTTATTAGACATTTTTGTCTTCAGTACTATCAAAACAATTAACATCCATCAAGTTAAACAGAGATTTTGTAAACCAGCACAACAAATGTCTACCACATTATTTTTATATATCTGAAAATAATCTAAAAATAATAGATTTTTATTACAACACTCAAAAAAAAAAACACTTGCTAGTAAATTTTGCAATTAATTACAAAGAAACAGCAAGTAATATTGAATTAAACATGAAGTAGAAAGACTCAAATATAAGTATTTTCTCATCAAACATACTCTAATAATGTTAACAATCATGCACCCTCTTTACTACCTTAATTCAATTGAATCGGAATTTAAAGGACATTCTCTGTATTATGTAACATTAAAAAATAATAATAATTAAAAATAAAAGAGTGATGCTGGAGTTCACCTCACTGATGAGCATGCGTCCGGCCATAGTGAGACGGGTGCGTGGAGAGAAATGTGGTGTGATCATGAGACGCAGTCCAGCCTCTGGGAATGAGAGCTGGTGTGGCCTCAAGATAAGCAGCTCATCCACCATCACCACTGGAGACTCCTGTCCTGAACCTGCTGGAGCTCAGAACAAATCCAAAAACCGCTTCTGCTTCAGGACCCAGATTCTACGCATGATACAAGAACCAATGCATTTCATGCAAAACCAAAGCAATTCAAAACATGCATGCATGAGTACCTTTCCTCAGCAGCACCACGGAGGTGTTGCCGTTTGTTTCCGCTTCATCAGCCTCTTTATCTCTGGACGTTTGTCTCCTGACACAACATTGGCCCGGACTGCCACATGATCTCTGGACAAAGCTGGCGATCTGACTGTTAAACCTGCCAAAGAGATTAGTGCAAAATATTTTTTTCATGCCTTTTGGACGACGGTGCACTATTTCATGCTTTTCATCCTCAGAAAGATATTTCTTCCTCCCCATATTGCATGAAAACTGTGTGTTAATGATGTGGAACAACCTCAAGTAGGTAAAGTAGGTTTTCCATTTACTTAAGAAGACCTGGCAAACTATTGAACAAACCTGTTTGAGACTGATACCGGTTATCTAAAAAGACGAGAAATAAAACATACAAACTTTTAAAATACAAAAATCTGAATGCTTGTTTTCAATTGCAATTAATCATTTGATACAATGCACTTATTGTGTAGATGCATGTTTTTACATTGCACTTATACCTTTCTTTAATTACTTATGTAATTAATTGATTAATTTACATATATAGTTACACTGTCAACCCTACCCCTTAAACCTAACTAGACCACTACACACACACACACACACACACTGTACATACATACAATCTTCTTGTATAATTTTAGCACCCTCTAGTGGGACAGTTTTTTTTTAAAATCAGTATATACAGTGGGTACGGAAAGTATTCAGACCCCCTTACATTTTTCACTCTTTGTTATATTGCAGCCATTTGCTAAAATTATTTAAGTTAATTTTTTTTCCTCATTAATGTACACACAGCACACCATATTGACAGAAAAACACAGAATTGTTGACATTTTTGCAGATTTATTAAAAAAGAAAAACTGAAATATCACATGGTCCTAAGTATTCAGACCCTTTGCTCAGTATTTAGTAGAAGCACCCTTTTGATCTAATACAGCCATGAGTCTTATTGGGAAAGATGCAACAAGTTTTTCACACAT